CTTGCCCCAGAATTTCCCAAATGGTGGATCTACCATGCATGAGAAACCCCTTTAGCAGCTCTCATGAGGTTTTACACATTTCTGATCATCCCTCCACCCCTTGCTTATTGTTCTGGAACCCAGTAATATGCGTGCCCATCAGTAGGAGTAGTAACTGATGCACATCACATCAATCCCTGATCTTCAGAGCTTACTGCAAGATTAGATATACATGAAAACTAGTTTCCTGGGAGCCATCTCTTAGCAAGCTGTCTCTTAGCAAGCCTAAACTTCAGGCATATTTCAGTTCCATTCTGAAATATGTGTGCTACATATAAGGTTAAATTTTTTTAAGGTTAAAATTTTTAAAAATGTTTTTTTTTTAATTTGAAGGAACCATAGAGAATTCATAAATATTGGGGTTTATGTGAATTTTTGTGGAGAGGAATGATTTATGAATTTTAGCTCATTATAAACTTTAACTTATCAGTGATAATGCATGAAAGTATTATCCTCCTCTGAAAGACAACTACCTTTATGTAGAGTGCTGTCTTTATGGTATACTTGTGTATTTCTTCAGGGTTCAGTAGCGTAGGTTTAGGTTCCCACTCCAACCCAGTGGATATGCAGGCACTAAGTGATTATGTGAAAACCATACTTGTCAATTTATTTATACTTCACTGTCAGGAAACAGGTAGATAATACTATATATAAGAATTATATATGCATCTGAGCATTTACCTTGCCAGTTGTTTTTAAGGTTCAGAAAATTTTACAAAATTGAAGTACCTGTGAGAAGCTGTAGAAGACACACGCACACACACACACTATATATATATATATATATATATATATATATATATATATATATCCTTTATATATACATGCTGTATATATAAAGGAGAAACCATAGATTGAGATGAAACTCTTAGATGAAATAAGACTCTTAGACAAACAGAAAATAGTGAAGAGAAGTGTAATAGGAAATAAGAAAAAGAGTGAAATGCTTTAGGATCAATCAAGTTGAAGCACAAAATGTAACTATTTAACAAACTGTCCTCAAGGTGGAAGAGCATAGGAAATGTCTGTTATGGCAGGAGCTTGGTAATGCAGGATGTCAGGGACCATACTTAAACACATTGAATCCATGTGCTAAATGCCGTGACTGTTACCTGTTATGAGAACATGTAAAAGGGCAATGTATGGAAAACATAAAACCATAAATACCTGTATGAAATTACAACTTGCCAATGGAGTATATCAATGCATGCTAAGATTAAGTCACTGCCTTGAGGGATCCCTGGGTGGCGCAGTGGTTTGGCTCCTGCCTTTGGCCCAGGGCGCGATCCTGGAGACCCGGGATCGAATTCCACGTCAGGCTCTCCGTGCATGGAGCCTGTTTCTCCCTCTGCCTATGTCTCTGCCTCTCTCTCTCTCTGTGTGACTATCATAAATAAATAAAAATTAAAAAAAAAATAAAATTGTGGCATAATATATATAGCATAAATTTTAAAAAAAAAGTCACTGCCTTGAAATGATCCAGTAGTTTTCAAATATGTGGACAGATAAAATATATCAACATTTATAACTAAGATCTTCTGTAACAGTTTCTACACTAGCCATAGTAAATTGAATTTTCTTCTATATATGGTCTTAGCAAAGACAGATGATTTTATATAAAAAAGACATCAACGTGGACATTGAAATTATAAACAAAACACTACTTTGCAAATTATACTTTCTTGCTGAAGTATTAGCCTGTGTTTTAGAGAAAGTAAGAATGTTTTTAGATAGAAAACAATTTCTTATCCCACTTGTTAACATTAAATGCCAGGCATTTTACTTTTCTGATGTCCTTTTTCTAATAAATAGATTAATAGGAATTTAGAACAGAAATCTGCAGCTGAGAATTAGAATTTCAGAGCTCTTGAGAGAAATTGTGCATTGAACTGGGTGAATGGAGGAAACTTACCTGCTGGAAAAACTGATTTTACTATTATACATCAGTAGTAAAAAAAATCGACATCAAACCCTTATTTTGGAGATCTATCTTGAATTTTCATACAAAGAGAATAGAAATAAATTCTTATTAAGGGAAAAAAGCGTATTGCAGGCATGTGGCTCTTATTTACAACTGCCTGCTTTTTTGTTGTTGACAAAAAAGAAAAATTTCTATTTTAATTCCTTGAAAGCAATTTGAATGATAGCCATTTTGGAAATTATACAACTTCATATTAAATATTGAACAGTAAGGTAGTCAGATGGAAGTCTTCACTTCATCCAGCATCATCACATTGGTTTGACAAATGCTTTTAAAGTATGCGGAAAACATTTTGTTCCCTTCCTCCTTTGGCAAAGGCAGACATTGTGGTCTCCCTGTTGAAGTTTGGGTGAATAAACTTGGGATGTGTAAACAGAAACAGTCGATAGAGAGAGCCTCTCACAATTGGAAGGACCCACTGAGCAGTTAGCATGCGACTGTGGGCACTGAGGAGATGGGATGGGGTGGAATGGGATTGTTAGATTTAAGAGAGGAATTAAGCAATGTGGACAGAGGTGAGGAATGCGACTGCTCAGAATAACATGATAGTTCTTCCTCAAGAAAGAAGCCAAATATTTCAGGTTGAGGTTCCTGAAAAGTTTTGCTTTTGTTATGGATAAAACCAAACAAAAGTTACTCTTCATTTTCAGCCTTTATCTCCTTTTGTGATGCGTTATCAGTGATTTGTAACTGTGGATGAGTTTCTAATGTGTTTCTCAGTGAATGGCTCTATAGAGCTGTGTGACCTTGGGCAAGATCTTTAACAGCTTTTTGTCTGAGTTTCCTCATCTATAAAATGAGATTGTGGGGATTAATTGAGCTTTGTCTAAAGCACTTACAATTGTTGTCATAATAAGTCCTATGTGTTAGGTGCTATAATAATAATAATTACCATTATCATCATTTTATTTGAGTAAGAAACCCTATTGAGGAAGAAGCTATTTACTTCCTCTAATAACCTTAGTATAGTTGATGTATTTTTTTATATAACGAATCAATGATGAATTCTTTAGTGTTTAAGGTGATTTATAATGTCTGTGTTACCTTTGAAAAATTAATTTTTTAAAGTTTTATTTATGTAAGTAATCTCTACATCCAATATGGAGCTCAGACACACAACCCCAAGATTAAGAGTCACACACTCCTCTGACTGAGCCAGCCAGGTGCCCCTGAAAAATCAATTTTTGAAAAATATTAGTAACTGTGGGAGATTTCTATTTTCATAGCATTTTTCGAAATTAAAACATGAGCCAGTAAATGTCACATAAAAAACATAGCCACCTGGGGCTATTTAGTGTAGGGGCAAAGATTATACATACCTCAGGGATCCCTAAGGGCATTATTATAAAATTGTACCTTAATGTTCAGTTAGTGTTCAGGGTAGGCAGCCCCTGAGTCATCCAAATTTTAGATGCTTTTTTAAAAACAGGGAATTGTATAATTGCTTTCAAAAAAGATTTCCATTATGAATACATAAAAGCAAATTTTTACACTTCAAATTACACTGTGATTTTAGCAACTTCCATTATCATTAGTATATTCCTAGGTGCATTGAAATGAAAGATTCGTGTGGTTTTTACAACCTTTAAGTTAGCATGAGAGAAATAGAACCCTTAATTTTCCTTCCAGACTATTCCTCTTGTCTTTTCTAATACTGTCCATAATGTGTTATATGGCAGTGATGGTTTGAAACTATCTTGTCTTGTTTTGTTTTGTTTATATGTGATCAGTTGGGGTTTTTTTTGTGGTAGGTGTGTTTTGTTTTCTTGTATAGTACCACCGTTTATCCAACAAATTCTCTTTCCTGTGAAGAGGAAAATGGAAGATGGTGGAAGTCAATGCAAAATAAACCTTTGAGAATTTCTTAAAAGAAGATTTTTTTTTTTAAAGATAGTTTTATTTGAGCCTAAGTTAGGACACCTGCTCCCACACACAATCTTCACAAAGAAGAGAGTACTGTGGTAAAGGAACATTTGGTTTAGGGTCATATACATTTTTATATACGATGTTACAAATCATTAGACAAAAGACAATTCAGAAAGTTGCAGACCTTACTTAGGTTTCTAGCATATGCAAGGCTGTGTGACATTAATCTTAAGGGAATAGGGAAGTTTCCTTTTTTTATCTTTTGAGTTCAGAATGTTCCTTTTTGGTTATTTTCTTTAATGAAGCAGATGTACAGTCTGTGCTCAGGGCACAAATAGAGCCCATGCTTTGAGGTTTTGTGGAATTATTTTGACCTTGATAAATGTTAAAATATAGCTTCTCTGGGAGCCCAGGAGAAGTGCCTACAAATGTTAAGTTGAAAATTTCCTTTATCAATGATAATTACGATTTTTGTATGTAGCTACTGAAGTTACTATATTAAGACTCCTGGAAATAATAGCAACCATTACCTCCATATTTAGAGATGGCTCAAGAACTGCATAGTAGGCATTCAGGTAAATGTGTATTGAATGATAGTTAAATGAATTATATCTAGATGTAGCCATATTTAGAAGAAAGCAACACCTCTTTTACTTTCCTTCTCAGGAGCAAGGGAGCCTTTCCTGGAAGCTCCTGTTCTAGGTGTCTCCTTGTATTTCCTCCTTGGCCAGGATACAGTCATTGACAGAGGAAGTGTGATTCCTCTGACTGATTTAGGTGGAATAGGTGTTTTGGGTATAAACCACAAAGACCACTGCATTGGTTATAAAAATAATCCATGATTATCATAGGAAGTTTGGAAAATAATGAAAAGCATAACATAAAAAATTTAAAAACTATCATCACATAGAGTTAGCTATTGTTAAACTTGTGTTTAGCTTTTCCGTTTTTATTTTTCAGAAAATTGTAGTCATGTTGTGCATAGTGTTTTATAGTCTTAAGTTTAGTTATCTAATACAACCATTTTTTCATGCCATTAAACCATGTTCAAAAATGAGATGAGTGGTCTACTGTGTTCTTTCATATGGTGATATTACAATTTATTTATTTGCAGATCTGATTTGTTTATTTGAGAGAGAAAGAGAGAGAGAGAGGATGAGAGAAAACAGAAGTGGGAAGGAGATGGAGAAGCAGGCTTCTGCCTGAGCAGGAACCCAGTGCGGGACTCGATTCTAGGACCTTGGGATCATGACCCAAGCTGAAGGCAAGCTCTCAACCACGTGAGCCACCCAGGCGTCTCTATTACAAATTATTTAAGTAATTGCTTATTGTTAGAAATTGAGATTAAAAAAAAGAAATTGAGATCATCAGTAGTGTTTTACTATGTGTATGAAGACCTGTTAGTATTAGTCATTGTGTACATCTGTGGTGAGGAAAATGGGAAAGAGGACATAAATACTTTCAAAGCTTTTGGTGTACTTTCCTTACCCTCCAGAAAACGTGTGCCATTTACACTTACACAAAGCTGTATATGAGTGTTTCTTTAACTGTATTCTTGTCAGCTTTGGGAATTATTTTATAATTGCTACTTTAATAGACTAAGTGTGGTATTCTTTTGTTTTTCTCTACTTTTTTGATTACCAGTATTACTGAATATTAACAACATAGTAGATACCTATTGAATGAAAGAATAAATATGTGTTTCTTGATGTGTAGATTATTCACATCCTTTATATGGCATTATTTTTACATTTTTTATTGTGATATACATAAAATAAAGATCATAAAGTATGTTAATAGTAAAACTCTAGAATAAATTTATGACATTCTCTTCTGACTTGGTTATTCCAAGTATTAGTTTACCTAATTTATGATATTATAATCACTTTAAATTATGGTATCTCAGAGCCTATTCTGGTTCGGTGAGTTATTCTGTCATACATCCTCATGGCTATAGCCTTTGCCTTTGGTACTGAATGAGAAAAGTTACTTCCTTCTAGATTTCTTTATGTTATTTACTAATGTCTATGACTCTTTCTCAGACTTCTTTATTTTGGCAATATAGCATTTTATTTATCTTCATATTCTCCCAAGTGTCAAAATATGTTTTCCACTGTATAGAAAGAATTTAAAATTATTTTCTTACTTCTTGGCTCAGATTCTCTTTTTAATTGTAATCATGTGTGTGTCTCTCAGAGCTTGAGTAAATGACATTTTCTTGTGTTATTTATTAATAGTTATAACTAGTGTTTATTGTTAACATTTTTCTCATTTAATCTTTTCTTTTGGTTCTATGAGATTAGGATCAATATCCCTTTCTTTTATACAGAGATGAAATATTTTGGGCCATACAGCTAATAGTGGTAAAGCTGGGGTTGGAACCTTGCTTGCTAGTGATGTTTGGATATTAAATTATAAACTATACTATGTTTGGTCATATGTATAGAAAGAGGCTAAATTAGGGTTTCCAAGTTATGCTGAAATGTATAATTTAAATTTGATTCTTGTTCTCAAGTGGACTCTTCTCTCTGTTATTTGCAGCTAGAAAAATAAAAGGCCTCAAATATAATTTAATAAAACCAGCAAGAACCATACCACTTTTGTAGTCAGTTTTGTTGTAAACTAGTATTTATACAACCCATGACTTGATAGCTCACCAAACCATCTTGTATTACCATATTTTGAATGTAGCAGGAACTGGCTTAGCAAAATTTTAAAACTTTTGACTCTAATATTTGTGGTACAGTAAAAGAAACAATTTGGGGGCTTTCAGGTTTGTGTGGTATACAGCCTGTCCAGGACATTGATGCTTATTCTCCTTGTTGACTCCAGTGCTTTCATGAGTAGTTTTGCTGACATTCAGTCTTGCCAAGAGAGATTCTGGTGGAGAAATCTGGTAGAAAGCCATCAGCCTCTTTTTATTAGAAATACAACAATTATTGATAATATCTAACATTTCTTGAATGCCAAGCACAGGTCCAAGTGCTTTCTGTGTATTGACCCCTTTTAAGCTTCACAGTGGCCCTATTAGGTTTTCTCCCGTTTTGAAAAAAAAAAAAAAGTTTTTCTCCTGTTTTATAGATACCAGAACTAAGAACTAAGGAACAGACAGGTTAGATAACTTCCCAAGGTCACAGGAGTAGTATATGGCACAATGGAGATTCAAACCGTGGCAGTCTACCTCCAGATTCTGTCTCCTTCATCACTCTGTTACTCTAACATTTATTAGATGGAAGAGGGAGGTATTGATGACTCATAAATAACTGTTCACGTTTTTGGAAAGGTTTGACTTGATGCTTGGTAGCAGCTCAAAATAGTTAAGCAATTGATATTCATTAAATTCTTAACTCATATATTCTTTTGTGTTCATACAAATTTAGGTAATTTTGCATTCCCAGTAAACAAAATGGTCTCTTAGACTGTTTAAAACAAAACTTTGGAGAGTTGATTCAGAATCATAGTAATAGTCACAGAATGATTAAATAATCTGTTTAGTACTCTCTACTACTGTAGTACATATTGGTCTTGTACTCCCTCCTTTATCAGTGAATATTTCAGAAATGGCAGGCTATTTTGAAATTGCTCAGGTTGGCTATAGGCCTAATTTGTCTTTAACACCTCATTTCACCTATCACTGGTACTTTGGTCTGTTCTGTGTTTCCTCATTACTCAATGGGATGCCCAACCATCTTTACTTTCTGTCAACAGCTTCCTTCTAAGATATTCATATTAATTTTTAAAAGTATAGTAGACTCTTTCTTAGAGTGTTTGCATTTAATGCAAGAGTCACAGGCTAGGCTGTAGGGTTACTTTTGAGATTTGCCTTACTCCTTCCTGAAGCTCAGGAGATTTCTCCTTCTCATCCTTGTCTCTCTGTCATCAGTCTTGTCTTGTTCTATTAACAAGTCTAGGTCTCAAGAAGGAGACTTGGGGTAGCCCAGCTTAACACCAGTGACATGGCTGATTATGATAATGGTGAATGATGGAAGTAATTCATTGTAGAGCACCGTTTTGATCTCACCTTCCTTTTCCCATGGTTGAAAGCTAGTGAGTAAATGAAAACTTCGTTTATCATCTTTGGGCATTTAATATTACCCCGTGTCCTGTGCCATTCCTCTTCACTGTCTCTCATCAAAACTATTGAGGTGAATGAATTGGAGATTAAACTAAAAATTCTGACCCGGTTTTTGGAAATAGCTGTGTAGTTTTTGCCAATTTGGAAAGCTGTCACTTAAAGTGGCTCCTGATCAGATAATAATTGATCAGTTCAGATGGGGCACGGTTGCTTCTCCATTTGTTCCTAAGACAGTAGTGTGTAGTAAAGTCAGCTACTGGCTTGAATTCAGGTGTCACTAGCAGGCCTAGAGGACCATATAGAGTTACGATCATAAGTAACATGTAAAGGCTAGAGGGATCCAAAGATATAAATCTCTTCCTTTTATTCATCTTTTGCAGAACCCTCTCCTATTATCCCTTTGGTCTTAGAATTAGAATTTTTTCTTTGTTAATGGGCAAAATCAATCCACCAGGGCAAGGATATGGTGAGAATGTTAGCCTAGGTTTTTAAAATGGTAAGGGGATAGGCTTTTGTGTTATGGTGTGTGTGTATGTGTGTGTGTGCAGGCGGGATGTTTTACACAATTGAAAATCTGCAAACACTGAGAATCAGTCCTAAGAAGCATGTATGTTGCATGATGGCCGAAGGAAGAAGAGCTCTCAGAGGGGCTGACTTAGAAGGTGCTGTTGGAGAAAGGAAGAGAAACCAAGGGAGGAGAGCATGTGTAGGGTAAGCACTGAGCTGTTTGATGCTGCAGAGAAGGCAGACAAGGTAAGATCAGAACAATGAATACTGCACTTGACCCTGAAGGCTTGGTAGCAGAGTTGCTGTTGACCTTTGCTCAGAAATCTTCCAACATGATGGTGGGAACAGAAGTCATTTCTGGAAACTGAGGAACGAACAATTACTGAGAAAATGGAGACAGCCGTGAGTGTGTAGACTCTTCTTTCAAGATACTTGACTGTGAAAGAAAAGAAAGAAACAAGTGACGTGATCAAGGAAAAGCCTTTTACTTTATTCTTTTTCGGGATGCGGAAAGAAAGGTTTTTAATAGGCCAAGAGAAAGGGAGGTGATGGTTAGGGAGAACAGTCTTAATGGATGGAGAAAAGTCTTAAATGCGATGGGAAGGGGTAGAGTTAGAGCCTGGGTAGGAAAAGAGGGGTTCCAGAGCCTTCAGGGAAGGGTGCAGTTTCAACTGACAGTCTGAAAGGTGGAGAAACTGTCTCTGTACAGTGAATATGCGAATGCAGATAATAGAGTTTCAAAAGATTCTACAATAAATGCATAGAATTTAGGATTATACATTTAAGTTTTTTTCTGGCTTGAGTTATCTTTTTTAAATCTAATATTTATTTTTTATTTTTTTAGAGATTTTATTTATTTAATCATGAGAGACACAGAGAGAGAGGCAGGGACATAGGCAGAGAGAGAAGCAGGTTCCATGCAGGGAGCCTGATGTGAGACTCGATCCTGGGACTCCAGGATCATGCCCTGGGCCGAAGGCAGGTACTCAACCACTGAGCCACCCAGGGGTCCCTAATTTAATATTTTTAAGTTTATTAAGTAATCTGTACACCCAACATGGGGCTCGAACTCACCCCCAAGATCAAGAGCCATCTATTTTTCCAACTGATCCAGCCAGGCACCCCGGGATTGAGTTATCTTTTTAATTGTTCCTAATACACAATTGATTAAAATGATGGAACCATTTGACAAATTTTAAAAATAATCTGTTAAACATAAATAAAATTTTATGTGACTGCAGTTTCTTAATGGGTGGATGAGGTGGTGGTGATATTTCTGTTGAGAAATCTATCAGTGCTAATTTTTTGAGTGGTCCTTGTTTTGAGGCCTGGTTTTTATATCTTAGCACTGTTATGTACCGCAAGTGAGAGTCAGATGGAGTAAGTCAGGAATGGCTTTTTTGAAGAAGGGAAACCATACTTCCCTTCCTGTACCTCTCCTTGGTTTTTAATACTGTACTCACAGAATACTTTGTTTTTCTTCTTATACTTGTGGGCACCAGTTGTATAGAGGTTTCCCCACACAAAGTGACTCCCAAAAACCAGCTGGGTCCTATGATTTACCACAGTTCTGATACTGCTTGGACCTAGTATTAGATCCCACAGGTTAAGGGCTGGGTCCTACAAGATTTCTCCTCCTCTTCCCCCTTCAGGTATAGTCATAGGACCAGGTTATCACCGTACATCTGACCTATGAGC